GCTGGCATAGATGTTGGCATTTGAGCGCAACCCCGGAAAATTGAAAAATTCGGATCCTCACATGGCGCTACTGATAAATGTGATAACAGTTAAATGAAAGCAGTCACTCTGAAGTCCCTTCCATATTATCATTAAGAAGCACCTCATCTTGAACAGAAATTTATTAGTTTTTCCTTTTGTTCCTTATTTGCATTTATCAGCTCCATTAAGTACGCGCGTCTCGCAAAATCTCAACCCATGCCCCTCACCTCATTCAAGTCGAAGAGCGAGCGCTAGCTGTGACGAAGAGAGCGATGGAGCAAAGGATGTTTGTCCCAAAATCCGGATAAGCTGCAAATGCTTTATACGACAAGCAAGATTTATTTTAAAAAATCTTGCCAAAATTTTTTTGGGTGTAAAACAGTTTTTTACCAGGTTGACATCCCAGAGAGTCATGAAACCGATGACACCAAGATCGATGGACGCGATAGCGAATGCAACCCAAATTGAGCACATTGGTTGTGGGATCAAAAGCATCGCGATCACAATCATTACTAGCAGAGCTATCACTGAAAAAATTATCGTTTGAAAAACTTTCAAAAAAAGCATGTGATTGTCCAAGAATTGCGAATTTTCTGAGAACAAAAGGTCTGAAAGCGATGGTTTGGTTGGTAGTAACAATCTCTCAACAAAAGTATTTTCATTAGCAGTTGATATTCGGTAACCTAATGCGACTACATTTGTCTGCATGGTAATTGGTATTTGTCAAAAGCAAAAGCTACAGATTCAAATCAACTCTGACTGGTTTTTCTTTTTTTTTTTTCAAACATCTATGTGAAGCGGAAATCACCAACGATTTTGCTAGCCGATGGCTGCTTTTGGCGACATCACCAATGACAGAAAAGATGAGTACCGCGGCTTTACGTTTGTGATTCTACAGAAATTTTACAGTACTCTGCGGTACCAACTTTGCTAATTCTACAGTATTCAACGGGATCCTCTACAGTAGTGTACAAAAAACCGTACAGTATCACTGGCAGTTCTAAAGTCAAATTAATATACACCGTCACTGTGTCGCAAACGTTTTCACCTATAATGATGACTGGAAAACGAACGGATATTCTGCATGGTGTTAGGTACAACGATGGCATACTGATCAGTGAAAAGCCATAATGGCGAGAATGTCGTGATATTGTACGATGGATAACGCTCGGCCACTTCTCGGAACAACTTCGTCGCGTCCTCCTGCTGGTGGGTCTTCGAAATCTGCTTCATACCGATCAAAAATCTGCAACAGATGTGGGATTAAAAGGATGATCGGAAGCCATTAGCACGGTGAACCGATCCAGCAGTTCGAATTTTTGGCATAGATACGAAACAAACAAATGTGTTGTCGTCAGAAAAGTAAACTGCATGAAATGAAACTCCGATTCAGCTGCTTCAGGACTTTCAGGACAAGTTTATATGAAC